CACCTCTGTGTGACACAAGATCAGGTACCAGGCCACCTGCAGTGTTTAGGCTCAGCCCTTTAGGAACAGCTAGGAAAGCTCTGATCCTGTACAACTTGCGCCCCAACACCATCCCAGACCTGTTACATGGTTAATTGTGTCCTGTCCAGAAGAGGGATACCAGACAAATCAAAGTTACCCCAGGCAAGGTGAGCTGATCTAAAACTTTGTCTCAGCAGCGCCTTCTCTTCCACCTGCTTTTGTGTTCCTACTGACCCCAAACACTTGTCGCACCTCTTCCCAACATGGTGTTATTGCTGGACAGAGCAGGGAGAAAAAAGGAAACAACTGTTATTAGACTTGGCAGCAGTAGGAGAACTATACTGGGAGGGCTCCAAGCATTCCCCAGGCACCCCCGGGAGGCTGCTACAGCCCAGAAGGCAGTGACAGGTTCCCTGGAGGTATTACCTACTGCTAACACCACCTTCTACCCCCCCACTAAGATCAGCACCCAACATCCTCCCTCAGCTCCTTCAAATTTTGCCCAGGAATCTTCTCTGCCAACAGCAGCATCTGCACTGGGGCAGGCTGGCCCTGGCAAAGACTCAGGTGCTTCCTCACAAGCCTCAAGACTGCTGCTGATGTGCCAGGGCCTCCACTCCCGTCACCAAAAGGGCAGAGCTTCGCATGGCCTCCCGCTGGGCAGCCACAACCTCCCCTATCCCCTTCCCACCTCACAGCCCCACCGTCTGCACTGGGCAGAGAAGAGATCAGAGGGGAGTAAATTTGGGCTAGAGGGACACAAACAGCATTGCTCCCGGGAGACAAATGTGGAACCACAGCCTGTTCTGAAAGGGAAAGCAGCAGTCACGGGTGAAAGCTCCAGAGAGGTGCCAGGAGGTGGCCACCCTGCCCAGGGTCCTTCAGCACAAGCAGTAAGGACATAGGGAGCAGCTGCACAGCTCACCCTGCTCCCAGACGGGAATGACAACTTCGGCACTGAGTGGCTTTCCTGCCAAAACACAAGGCACCCCTGACAGGGGGCTCACTCTGGCAGCAGTGAGGGTGCTCCCAGGCTTGACGGCCAAAGCTGGTAAGAGCGCTGCTGCTAGGAGAAACCCTGGCTTGTGAAAGCAGTGGGAGGAGGAAGAGGAACGCTGGCTCAGTCCAGCGGCTGCTCCCACCCCCTGCCCACGGCTAGCTCACCTTGGCCTTGTTCTGCACGGGCAGGTACAGCTTGAACTCAGCTGGGAGCTCATCCTCGGAGTACAGCCGGTCAGAGAAGTACACCCGCCGGATGCGACAATTGGCATGGATCTGGGAGTCAGAACAAAGAGTCAGTCCATTTGCCGTACGCTCTTTCCACACCCAGCAATGTCATGCAGCTGCCTGGATTCCTTAGCTCAGCAGCTCGAGAAGAGACCTCACCACCTCTCTCTCAGTCTGGGAGGGCATCAGAGAAGAAAGGTCAGCCCATGCCCTCTGCTTTGCATTAGATGCTCTCTCCACTCCAGTGATGCAAGCTGGCTCAAGGGATTTGGCCAAGTTCTGGCATCTCTGCAAATTGAGATCTGCCTCAGCTGTGTAGAGGATTCTTTGCTGTGAACCCAACTCTGCTGCTCCACTGGGATCAGCATTTGCCAGAACACTCTCAGCCTCAGCTTGCTGCTCCCCTCCCTGACTGCCTGCTCATCTCGGGGCAACCCCACAAGGAACTGCTGCAGCCCCATCAGACTCTGCACCCAGCCATTCCTCAAAACCATGCATGCCATGGACATGGCAAATGTGAATCCTGAGCATATGGAACAAGTTTCTCGTCCTCAGTGAGTACAAACGCTGCATCAGCTCTGGTCCCAGGGGCTTGGTGAAGGCAGGGTCACCCCACCCACATTAGTAAACAAGCTTGACCTGGGATACGTACAGACCCCAACGCCCTGGGTCTTCCTCGGCCAGGCTCCCACTCGTCGCTGTCTGGCATACCTGGACAGCATGGCTGCACACAGCTAATTCCCAGCAGGAGGCACAGCATGCCACAGGGAGCTCTAGGTGGACAGCAACCCCTACCCTAACCAACAGCCAGCAAGAGGAACAAGATGAAAATGGGCTCCCTCATCCCAGCCTAGTCCAACAAAGGCAGCACCAAGACCTCTGCTGCCACAGCTGGGCCTCTGCCTCCCTCCTGCAGCGCTCTGCAAGAGTGGGACTGGCAAAGAAATCAGTCAGGGCTAAACCTGGACCCAGAGCAAGGCTGTCCCAGCAGGAGGACTACCAACCCCTGGTTTCTGTGGGCAGGACATGCCCGCTTCTTACCTGAACTCTCAGGGTCTCAATGTAGTTTGTCCCATAAGCCCGGCGTGTGAAGTCTGAGAGGTTGAACTGGATTTGGTTCCAGCCATCGTCCAGCCGCATGGGCATGGTGCAGATGAAGGGCTTCACCCGAGTCGTGCTCTGGTAGTTACTTGCCCGGAACCGCCGGCGTACGTTCTTATCATCCAGCACCTGGGGCAAGGCAGGAAGGCTGCTGAGCCAGGCATCAGAGCCCCCAGCTGGTCTAGGCTCAGGCTTCACCCATCTTTGAGAGAGGGCTCTCCTACTCCCATCCCTCCATTTCACAGCCAAAGTATCTCTAACACAGGAAACAGACCCATTTTCAGGAGCTGCCTGTCTGATGCCTCCATAGCAGAAGACCTGACACATCACAGGGCCAAGAAAGCAAAACTGTTTTGGGGACCACATTCTGCCTGGGACAAGAAAGACTGCAGGCTCCCTGTACCTTCCTCAGTGGTCCCTGGAGGGGCCTCCCCACTGCACGCTCCTCACCTGCACTTCAAAAGTGAAGTATTTCTTCAGGTTCTTGATGATCATCACTAGGAAAGGCAGCTTGATGCCCAGTGTCTTCTTTGGGTCAGCAGGGCATGTGATGTATGTGGTACTGAGAGGCGGGAAAAATGCTTTAGGATCTCACATGGCACAAAGCACACAGCCCAAGTCCCAAGTCTCTCCCTCGACCTAACGCAGTCTTGGAGGACAGGCGGAAAGAGAGAGCTGTGATCCTAAGATCTCAGCAACAACCCAGGCCTCCTGCAACAGGAGGGGGAGTTTTAGAGGTGGCTGCAGGGAGAACATGATAAAAGGCCCAAAGCATGCATTTCAAATCCCACCTTTCTCAACCAGGGCATGCAAATCCTTCCTGGACAGCTTCACCTCCCCAAATCCAAGGCCATGTCAGTACTGTTTCTTAACACAACCTTCACCTACCCTTGAATGAACAGGTAGAGCCCTCTAGAGCACAGCAGAGGCCCCCGTGTGCTCTATATGGCTGGGAAAACAGAGGTCATGAGCCCTAGAAGTACACGTCACACCTGGCAAGTTCTGTATCAACACATCTCACGAGGAAGAGAAGCATCAGCCCAGCCTGCCTGTGGGAGAGGAGCCTCCGCTGCCCTTATAAGGAGCGCCTCGCTCTGAATCACCCCGGAGAAGCCTTGGAGACTCTGAACCCGCTCAGAGAGCTAGTGTCTCTCTCCCTGGCGATAGAGAGGAGGTCACTAAGTAAAGCGCCATAAGCAATTCCCCTCACAGATCTCCCTTTGATCGTCCTGCTGGGGGAGAGCAGCAGTCACGTGGGGAGAGCAGCAGAGCGGGCCCGAGATAATAAAAGACGCAGAAGGCAGCGCTGCTTTCTCAGTAACTGGCAGCGCTGACTGGGGCCTGGGTATCAAATACAGCTTTCTCCTGCAAGTGATGGAAAAATAATGGGACTTTATTTTTTATCCCTTAGCCCCACTGAGGATGACAGAGCTCTACAAGCATGCCCAGGGAAAAGCACGGCACAGTGCCACAGAGGGGTACAGTGATCTGACCACAGATCACATTCTTCAACTTATTGACGAAGAGATCACAGTAGAGTCTCAAGGAGATGCCTGGCAAGGCACCAACATCTCTTGCTCTGCTCCAGGGCCAAGCCCCCAGGGCACACTAGGACAGAAGAAGGTGCCTTCCCCTACCTGACGTTAGTTCCTTCAATCTCCAGCACCAGCGACTGAATGTCATTGTCGGTGATTCGCTTGATGTGGCCATTGCGCACCTGGAAGAAAAGCGGGCAGACAGCATTACTCGAGAGGGAAATAAGAGGTGCCCACAGCTCCATTGAGACGGGGGGAAAAAGATCCCAGGAGGACCCATCTATGTGCACATGGCTCCTGTTGTCCTGGGCATCACTGTTTCCAAGACTTTGATCACCGCCCCAGGTGCCAGGACTCCAAGCAAGAGCCTACAGCCCAGTGTGCTGCACGGACACTGAGCGCAGGACTTCAATCTATTAAAATACCCTACAGTGAACACAAGAGAGTCAAGCCTCATGTTAAAGGCCCAAATAAACAAATATAAAAGTGTCAGAGCAAGATCAAACTAGAGCGGGATAAAGGGTAAAAGCAAGCATAAGCAATACAGGGGGGTAAACGAAGGGAGCCAGCGGCCAGGCACTGGTCACCAAGGGGTCCTGCTCTCTCTGCTGGGCATGGCTGACCACCTCCGTGGAAGAGCAGGGCCAGGTGAGAGCTTGGTTAGAATTCTTCCTAACTGTGGTGCACGCAGGCGCAGAGCCATCATCCGCTCTGCTGAGGGACACAGGGATTTGGCTGCTTGGACACAGCCAGCTCCCCACAGAGCTCAGGGAGGCCAGGGCTGGAACCAGGAGCCAACAAAAACTCATTTTTCTCCACAAGCAACATGGCTGAATCCCAAGGTCTGAGGGTTTATTTTTTTAATGAAGCAGCTTGCTTCCCATCAAATTTATCTCCATTTAAAAGGCACTTTTGCTAATTAAGACCTCTCCTCTTCCCCAGTGCTAGATCAGGGAATTGCAACGCTCCTTCCAGCTTCATGAATTAATTTCTTCAGCACCTATCACTGCTGCCAATATATAGGATACATTAAGCTTCTAATGGGATGGACCAGTTATGAGTTACAAAACAATTTACAGGTTTAGCAATTCATCTTCAAAGTTAATTTCTTCCGAGGGTGATGTTGCACACATTTGCTGGAAGAGATAAGCCCTGCGAGCAGCCCATCCCCCTCCCCACTGAGCACTTTGGAGAAACCTCAGCCTGGATCACCCAGAGGGCGCTGATACACAAGAGTGCAGCTTGCCCTGCTAGGCTGCCCTTAACTCCACTTCAAGCCCACACAGAAACTTCCAGAAAACATTAATCTCAGGAAGAGGATCCTTACAGGATAACTGTATCTCTCCTTTGCATCAAGTGCGACTCCCATGGATTTATAGGTCTGTTCAGGAGAAGACAACTGCACAAGGTCTGAATGAGTCGTTTTGTTGCTCCCCCCCTCCCCAGCCCAGCAGAAGCCCCATGTGCCTTTTGTATTTGAAGCGGTGAACAGCATGTGGGAAATTCAGTCCTGGAAGCCACAGGGATACAGCACGTGGGCTTAACACCAGGAAATAACCCTGCCTAAGCAGTGACAGGAGTGCACAAAGCCTGCCTCCACACCATATAAGACAGCTTTCACTAAGGGCAGCTCCACAGATGGGAGCAGGTTCAGGTTTGGGCTTCTCTAGAGGGGACAGTAACAGAGAAAACAGCTAAGCATACTTTATACCAATTAGTCAGCACCATTTCCATCTGCAACCAGGTCCCCTTCCTTAGCCTGTGGACACTTTCCTTCCCCAGATTACAGGGACAATGAAAGCAATTCTTCCTCGGCATTGCCAGAGACAGGATGACAGGCAGCAGGAGAAGAGATAAGTACAAAACAGGGCTGGACTGTGGCAGGGCCCTTCCTCCCAGTCCTACCCAGCTTGGCATAAGCTTTTGCGAGCTGCACTACCCCCCAGCCACAGGGAGAGGGCGGCCAGGTCTCGCAAGCGCCTCTCTG